TACATATATGTATGTATATCTCTCAAGGCTTGCAAAAAAAAGTTGAATAACCATTTAGAACTATTCTCGGTTCCTCAATATACTAAGTTTCACCATTCTGAGCAGGAAGAAAAAGCATGCATTTCTAGACAGTCGCGAAGAGTATAAGATATTGCACATCAATTTTATAATACTTGATATCTAAGAACTGTGCTTCATACCTTTGCATTTATAGTGTTCGTTGAGCATGGAGAGTTCAATGAACGAAATGATCGGAGAACCAAGAGTTTGTTGATATTTGACATCTTTCGGTACCATTGTTGGCTTTCGGTTGTAGGATGCACTGATAGTGGAAATTCAATGACTTCGAAATACTGTGTTCCCTGCTTTTGTGATATACTTATAATCTTAATTACAAACAAATCAGTCAGGTGTGTTTTGTGTTCCATCATTTTCATCATCGTCATTGTTATGCGACCTAATACCCATTCGTTTGAGATCCTCCCTACATTCTTGCAATTTGCTTTCGATATTGGTAGTTCAGCATTGTTCAGTGAATCATAGTATGTTTGAACATACCTAGTTCCACCATAATGCATAATGCTACCATAGTCGTAGGTCATCCCGTAGTTGTCGTTCGTGCTTGGTGTCTCTTTGTTGAATTGACTTAGCCAGTCCACATAAAAACAGGACAATCATTTCATATCAACAACAGCAACGAACGAACAAGATTTCAAGATTTTCAATTTTGGGCAGATTTTTGAAACTTTTGCATCAAACTTATGTTTTTGCCAGGCACGTATTCGAATTCGTTGGACATTACTGCTGTCGTAAATTATATGAGTATTACTCATTAATTACTTACACAGTTTTTACTTTNAAGATTGATATTTACTGCTAAAGGCATACCTTGACATTGACGGTATTTACTGTGATGAAGTCATCACGGTCATAACGCGACATGGTATGGAAGAATCCGAGAGCGTGACCAATTTCGTGAGCAGCGATATCTGGTGTTTCACAGCCTGATCCAAGTGACAGTTTCTGCTCACCCCCGAGTTTACCCACGTACGACCAACATCCGTCTTCCGGGAACACCATTATTCGGTTTTCAGCTGAAAAGGCGAGCCTTTCCAAGCCGGTTCGAGGCACAAGAGCAAAGCTTTGAGAATATCAAAAAATCTATGTTAGCTCGAATACATTATCAAATATCGAAAGCGGCCTTCCCAATTTTTTAAGAGGTCAGGCAATGTTCGTATACAGTAAAATCAAACCATTCCTCACCGAAACGGTTCTCAGCAAAATTGATACAGGTGTCCTTTTCCCATAATTTCGCTCCTTTTATGAATGCATTTCGCATCTCTCTGCCTGTAATATTGATACTGCGTGTAAACTGAATTCTGTAGCATCAGGAGAACAGACCAACACTTACTAGCAAGTGAGTGGAAGTAGTAGCTCACTCCTTCTGACCATAACGTCTTCGGATATCTTCGATCTTTGAATGCCTGACGCTTGGTACGATTTCCGCCGCTGACCTGATCTTCTATACCCCCGATGATTTCTTGAGCTTGCTCGCTGTAAAGAGGGTGCATGAGAAAAAATTTTCGCACAAAATATTCATTCTACTTACACTGTTAGGACTACGTCGCCTTGATAAAGATCGCCGCTAACGTTACTGTTCTCATTAATCTCGTTAACGGAATCTCCCTTCTCCCTTACTTTATCGTTCCTGATTGGTAGCCAATGCTAAAAAATCAATTCGCAACATTATATCTTACAATGAACGAAAAATTGTTGCATCTGCATTTGGAAACTATGACGTGGGAGAGACTAAATTCGGAGATATTTCAGCGACAGAATAATGGAATAAGTGTAAAATGAAACCTTCAGTCTTTCTTTGAGTGACTTTAGCTGTTCTTTTGTTAACTGCAATGTCTTCGCCACTTTATCCTTCAAGCCTCTGAACCAGTCACGGATTTTGAAAAGGGGCGTGCCTTTGAAGAGCTGCAAGTAGAAAAAAAAACTTGTCTTGTAGGTCTGCGCTACTCTCGAAATTAGTTAATTCAATTGGCAAGAGCGAGCTCGAATGAATGTTTGAAGAACCCCACTTTTTAAGGCAAACGAGAAATACCTCCTTGAATTTTACGACTGTTGCATTCTTCACTTTCTGACCAGCTATGATTGTGGCATTCTTCAATTTCTGACCAACGCTTCCTTCGCCAGTAAACACTTCCTTGATCTTGGAGAAAATGCCTGCGTTGACGACAGCAACCAAGAATAACGTGAGCAGTAGCAATTTCATTCTGAAGACCACACCAATTTGCAACATACAAAATAACTCTCAATGATTGTATTCAGCCTCAAAGCAATGAAATCTCCTCAAAATCTTCTTAGTTAAACATAAAGCGGAACAGCATGGATCAACCGAATAGATCGTTCCTCAAGGTTATGTTTCGGATGCTTCAGAATGAGTCCCAGACTGCAGTGCTCTCACCTGAACCAGCTCATCCTGGAAAAACCGTCAAAGGGAAGAGTTTTGGGGGGAGGGGGTTATGGTGGGTTGTGGTTCAAAACCTGGAGACATCATCGGACACTCGATACCACCTCTTTCTAATCCTTATGCTGCTTGGTTCTACAATCTATGACATACCTAGGGCATCGGTACAATATGGAGGCACAGTATCTACCGTACTGTGGAACATCGTCGAGAAGGTCTAGCCCCTTTATCCCTGCCACTCAAATGGACAATGAAAAGCTAGAAGAATTCATTAAGGGTTTTACTGATGGCTAAATCCTTTCGACAGCCTTTACTGAGAACCTAACACAATTCTGAAAACAGTAAAATGTGAAGAAGGCACAGCTTACGATATTTTACTCCTCCTTATATACCATTTTCTTCCGTTGCCTACCCTGGAACAGCCAGCTGACGAAACATGGGCACATCGTGCTTCAATCACGAAAAAAATCCTCGAAAAACATTTGAACATTGCTCACGAATTTCATCTGTATGCCCTTGCCAAATAGACAACGTTCCTCTTTTTTTTNTTTTTTTTTGCTTTCTGATGCCACCAAGGAAATGCTTATTACATTTGGCTTCCCTTGAGATGTTAGCCGACTATACCATTCGAGGTTACTGACGTAGTGTTTACAAGCTGATGAGAAGCCAATTACTTAAGAACGGGTATTTCTTTTGGTAACGACGATTCATTGACGAGTAGAAGGAAGAAAGGGACGAGCTGGGTTCTATGAACTGATATCGCCTTTCTGAAAAGAAGGGCCCAAATATGGACTCTGCAAAGATTTTGCTTTAGCCCTACAACCGCAAAAGTCGTATCGCAACATGGATTTGTTGGTCGCCTTATAGAGCACTACCGAAATTTACAACCCGGCGAGATGTTGCCTGTTCATCGACGTCGTTTCAACTTTCTTAGACTGCTCATCCTTTCATTATGTTCGCTCGTTGATGCTGCGGTAACGTACTTGAACTGTTTGGTCAGCTGAAGCCAGAAGAACATTCAAATAACGAATCCTGCCGTGAGCCGTACAAACAGCGTAGGACGTTGTCGGGTCGGAAAAAAAGGTTGGGATGACCCAGCCCCGAAGATACAATCATTTTTTTTGCAATTTGATTTGTAGTGACTTTATTTCATCAGCTGTCCTACGTGATATCATTATGAAAAGATGGCTATATGAGTGTAAGGACTGACACACTGTGACAATGTACATTGCTTTGCTCTTGACATCCGTTCGAGGTACAGTAGATCTTTTATAGGTTCCTTGATGTGACTCCAATCCTTCGTAGCCTTCAAAGGCTCTGACCAATGACCCATGCATTCTGACTGAAGATCCATAAACACTCATTGTATATCATGCCGTCACATAATCAAATGACGAAACAATGAAAGTGAGATAGTGCAGGACTTTAGCTAGCCTCCCTCTGTCCCGGAAGGAATGGCAATCTGCTTTTGGCAGTGTGTAACGTGAAAGTATTCGATCAGCGACAAACCCCCTCTACTTCCACAGCAACTGAGGGGTTGATAAAAGAACTTTTAGTTACTAAGACAGTTTGAGGCTGTTTGGTTAACACGTGGAATAAAGAAGTTTTTCAGTTCCCCAGTTCAAATAAAATAGCCCTTCCTAGTGTTCAGTACGATGGGCATTTTCTTTCCCCATACTCACTTTTCATCAAGAAACAACAATCAGAACTCACTGCAGTCCCTCAGCTTTGAAGAGGGCACGGAGTCAATCGCAGACTGCCTTGGTGAAGCCATCGAGAGGTAGCCTGTAGTGAGGGTGCGATAGGCTTGCGGTTGGACGCGACTGGACCAGACTGCTGGAGAAACCAAAACTTGAAGGAGGCCACGAGAATTCCCCCACCCCTTGTCCGGCTGAAGATGAGATAGCGGCGTCTGCGGTTCTGTGGTCAAGTATTGAGAAGGTCACATTCGATAATGGATGCAATGAAATTCGAGGCTTAAAGAAAGCCACCCCGAGGAAAGTCGCAGTTCTGAACAAGAAGGAGACCACTATTCTAAAGTACCCTAAATAGAATGAAATGGAGGCTGCACACAAAAACGGCGGACGGTCACCAACTTCCACCACAGCCAAGAACCTCGCANAAACCACAGCTCAACCTTTATGTGTTTTCAAGATGCACCTCTTTCACAGCTCCCCTTTCTCTTCAGCTTTCAAAGACGCATTACTGTAAATAGCTTGAATCCACGTCACTGAAACACATTAGTCTTACCAAACACAATATTTAAAGGTAAATGACATTTCGTCCTTAACTTAGAGGACAGAAAGGTTCGTACGGAAGTCTAGTTGGTCCAGTAAGTTCAAACCGAGGTTATCAGTAGAGAATTTCTTTGGCACTTCTCTCGCTGCTTCTGATTTTGGCACAGTGCTGTCTGCAATGACATGAATACGAACAGAATATGGCCAAGACCTATTTCATATCAGTTTCAGATTTCAAAGTATCCATGGTTATTGTTGCGTCGGTCCCCACTTCAAAGGCGCCTGTCCTGATTGCGCTGTGGTCCTACCGGGAACCCAGAACTCAGCGTAATTTCGAAGAGAACGAGAGGACACCGAGTGACAATGGATAAGGTGCGTTAGGAACGAAATGGTCGCGTCGCGGTGAGAGGGGCGTCGCGCGCGAAGGAATGTAGCAGGATGCAGCAGTAGGTAAGAAATACAAGAGCAAAAGTACTAATAGTAGACTTATGTATAAAATAATGATCGCATATCGATTGAGGTGTATGAAGAACGCTAGAGCTGTAATAACGGCTAATGCGTGGTCCGCGACAGCCGCGTGCGGCGAATCGATTACCNAAAATCGTTCCTAGCGCCCGTCTCCCAGTGACAATGGATGGGAGACGGGCAGTAGGAACGGTTTTGCGTAATCGATCCGCCGCACGCGGATGTTGCGGACCATTTGCCTCGTTATAACAGTTCTAGCGTTCTTCATACAGCTCAATCGCTATGCGATTACTACTTATAGCATGATCCTACTGTTAGATCTTTTGTTCCTGTATTCCTTACTTGCTGCTGCATTTTGCTACATTCCTTCGCGCGCAACATGGCATTCGCCGCGCGCGACCATTTCGTTCCTACTGCTAAACACCCACAATGGATCACGACCGCTCTAGACAAGATATCACCGACCGCCACTAACATTTCTTCTTTCCGGTTGCCTCCAGTCCAATTTCGCCATCATCGACGGCTTCAACGTATTCCGTCGCACCGCTCTACTCCTTTTGGAATGTTCTGCATCAAGCTGGTCGTTTATCGTCGTAGCTGGTCTGTCCCATATTGTACGGGCCATTTTAGTGTATTTCGGAACTCACCCATATGAAAAACTATTCAAGATTTCATGCGTTGGCCTGTCGACAGTAAGCACAGGTGCCCACGAAATCTTTCCTAGAATCAGGACCTGCTTTTTTCTCAAGCTAACTACTTCAATCGGTCGTCTGCAAAGCATTTCAATCCGATTATAGCTGTCTTCTATAGATTTGCAACGGTTTCGCAATTTGTTTGAAAGTCGGTATACAATGGCATAAGATAAGCTTATTTGCCCCACTGGAGACGCAGAAACATGTGTATTATTCCTACATGGAATATCCGCTGATAGTTTCTACATAATCGTCTGAAAGAACTGACAGAATTCATGGCGCACTGGGCGTGGGTACATTCACCCAGAACTGGATGGACGCGGCAAAACGCACGGCGAAATTCGTGGTGATTGAAACGGCTTTGGCGCCTATCACTTGAGCACGGGTTTCAAGCCGATTAGTAGTGTAGGGCCAGCTGATGCTTCTTATCTATCCCTCTTCAAATAGTGCCCAATGATAGGGGCCAGAGTTGTTTTGAACTCCACGAATTTTGCCGCNCGGTTTGCCGCGTCCATCCAGTTCTGGGTGAATGTTCCGTCCCCTTGGCGCACTTATTGCCCCTTTAGAAGTATAGCGTTGATGTACAACACAGTACATGAAATCCGCATGAAATCCTGTAGGACTTATTTACTACATATTTCTCTTGATGTCGCTGAAATCTCCAATGGAACAACCCGAGGACTATGCACAGTTCACAATAATGTCGAGGAATCTTTCTCAAATGGGGAAGCGGAAGAGTTGGTGTAGCGTAGTGTATCGATGCTGAACAGACTGTGAAAATCCGCCTACTTCGCGAAAAATAAGGGTTTTAAAAGTAATGGAAGTAATGGCGAAAGTGCCATCATGGTTGCCGTGGGTCGTTGTTTGAACACCTAACATGGGGCCCCTTGAGATAGTGTAGCTTCTATGTTGACGCCATTGAAACTCGTCCGCTGTGGGCGTGACATCCAACCGATACAATCCGTGAGCGAGCTGACTAGGCCGTTTACTGATCTGAAAGCGTCACCTATGGTATACTGCAACGATACAGATTCATCAGAGGGATATTTTTTAAAGATTATTTTTATCGTGAACTGCGCATCAAAGGGCTGCAACAGTGGTAGCACCGTGTGTTGTCACTGTCGCAGCACCTGAGCGTTTTCGTTATTGCCCTCCCCAGAGTTGCCTACTTAAAGCCCCTTAGTTTCACTAGTG